CCCCAAAACCCCAAAACCCCAAAACCCCAAAACCCCATTATAAATAAGGTTGACTGAAAATGAATATTGGTTGACTTATTTCTTTAATGAATTACTTGTTTCTGCAAGATCTTTCATGATGTGATCCAGATGCTCCTTGCTCTTGCTCATGTCTGGATTTAGGAGATTGTCCTTCTCTCCGAAGAAATTGTGCCTGCTGTAAGCCTTTTGGAGACGGCAAATCGCTTGGATGTACTCTGGCTTCGCCCAGAGAGCCGGTCCTTTCTTCTGTTCTCTAAGGAATTTTTGTTTTCTTCTTTCTGAGTCATAGGAGAGATTTGAGCTAGTTCAGCTAATCTTGATCCCACTGTCGTTGATGTTGGAGTATTCATCAATGAGTCTACCAAATGCAGTGTCGTAGCTAGAAGAGGAGCTGAGGAGAGACCCTATCTCAACCTCCTTTTTCCACTGGCCACTGTTGTCAAAGGTCTTACTCTTCTGTTTCTTAGAAGACTGAAGATTTGAGACGATCTGGCTTGCACTCTTTTCAGTCTGGCTAGGTGTTTCTTCATATTCAGCATACATTTTCCGAGTGGAAGAAGACAAAGACCCAGGTTGGTTCCGACTCCTGTTCATCTGAGAGGTATCCATGGTACTTTGGAGGCCTGCTAAGCCTTGGAGTTTTTCAGTGAGTTCTTTATGGAAATCTTCCTTGCTGATATTCTGAGTGAATCTTCTGTTTTCTAGAGATAAACTTAAGCAGAGTTACCTTTCTTGTTATCTGCCCTGAAGGGATTACCACTCATGGTCTTCTGAGGAGGTTTGGGTTTAAAGGGATTTCTCAGTCTTTGGCCTTCAGGTTGAATACTGGTTTTTGGGGTCTGATACTTCTGAAGAATAGTAATGAAAGCTTACTCTTTGAATAGCTATGTCGAAATTGGTCAGCGTCCAGTAAGTCAAGGTCGCTACTATGGTAGTGAGAGTGATGCAGAAGGTGGCGAAGAGGATGTAACCTAGCATTTTAAGAAGATAAATTTTATTATTTATGTGTGATTTTTAGGTGGGCATGTGATGGGGTTTTGGGGTTTTGGGGTTTTGGGGT